AAAAATAGAGAAGAAACAACCATAGTCTATGAAAAACAAACACCAGGAGCTCTGCCGCAGTACAGTGGAATGAGCTCTGCCTTCTGCTATTTCCAGTGACCTTGGCAAAATTGCATTGCCTTGTAGGGGCTCTATAAAATGGACATAATCACACCTACTTTATTTATTGTGAGAAGAATGAGATTTCTGAAGCTTCCTTTAAACTCCAAGATGCTACACAAATATGTTTTTAAACATACAGAGGATGTGGGTTCAGGAACAGAAGGAAATGAAGATGGATGAGAAGGGTAAGGTCTCATTGAAAACTCTCAAAGTCAAACAGAGCAGCTTGGATTTGATGAAGTAGAAAGTAGAATTTGCACATCTATCTTAAATGTGGAGAATGACATTATAAAAGTAGTTTTAAGATGTATAATCACAAAGTATTCAGAAGTGAAATAAGTCTGACAGAAAAAGACAAATACTGTATATTCTTAACCATATGTAGAATCTGAAAGAGCTGAACTCCTAGAAATAAAAAATAGAAGGGTGGTTTCCAGGGGCTGGGGGAAGTGAGATGTTGGTCAGATGAACAAACTTCCAGTTATAAGATGAATAAATTCTGGGGGTCTGATGTACAGCATGGTGACGGTAGTTAACAATACTGTATTGAATACTTGAAAGTTGCCAGGAGAGATCTTGAATGTTCTCACCACCAAAACATGGTAATTAATGTGAGGTGTTGGAGGTGTTAACTAAACTGGTTAATCATTCTGTGATAAATATGTGTATCAAACTATCGTCTTGTATATCTTCAGCTTATACAATGTTACATCAGTTATAGCTCAATAAATCTAGGGGGCATGGGGAGACAGTAAACTTGTATGTATGGGAGTAGCTACCAGGCATCAGCATTTCTTAAAACACACCAACTGATTCCAGTGGAAACCAAATTGAGCATCAGACTATGTGCAATGCTTATCATACTTTAATATGCATAAGTTCCACTTGGGGACATTGTCAATGTGCATGTTTTGATGCAGTGGTCTGGGTTGTACCTAAGATTTTGTATTTGTAGTAAGTCATAGGTCCTACCAAGCTCCTCTTTACTCTCACATAAATAAACCTGAATAAAAAATAATTCTTAAAATGATCTGCAATTCTTAGAAGTCACAATTCTTGTATGGTATATCATATTTGGGAGAAATATTTTTGGAGTAGTTTTACCTTCCAGTTTTTGGAGACATAATTGACATATAGGATTGCATAAGTTTAAGATGTACGAAGTGACTTAATGTGTGTGTATATTGCAAAATGATTCCACAGTAAGTTTGGTCAGCACCTATCACCTCACATAGTTACACAATTTTTTCCCCTTGTGATGAGATTGTTTAAGATCTACTATCTTAGCAACTTTCAAGTACATAGTACAGGA